GTCGGACTGAACACAGAGCCTTAAGGAACGCTGCAGTTCTGTTTACGGAGATTAGGGAGAACGCCGCAAAAAAGAACAAGATCGTGGCGGCCACGAATATGAGCTGCAAACAATCGGACAAGGCCAGTCGGGAGGTTCAGGGAGACCAAGCTGATCATGGCGAACGCAGCCAAAAGCGCAAACAGGTCAATTGAAACTGCCACGGTAAATTAAGCGGGCTTATGTTGATTAAAGCTCTCGAGGATAGCGTGGCTGAGCTCAAAAACCCTCTTGTGTTACCAGGACCCGACCTAAAACCATGTTTAGGGCAAGACAGGTCCTTTGCAGATGTCGGAATGGGATAATTTTGACGTTTCGGGATCTTCACAACGGGACTGAGGAGGGCAACTGGTCGAACCGAAGTCACTAGACCGGGTCCTAGCCTGTTTTGATCAGATGAATAACGACTGATTGGCGCCAGCAATCGGAGCTGATTGAGTAAGCCAGCGAAAAGGTTGAAGAGGGTTTCAAAATAAGCAGCCATCTTATGGTCAATATGGCGCAAATGTAGAGGCGCAAGGCTCTCTGGTCCTAAGGCTTTCGAAGCTTTCCTTTTGTTAACGGCGGTGAGGATAGAATAAGCAGCGAAGGAAATGTCCGGGGGTGGGGCTTTATGGAGGAGGTGCAGAAGGGGTCGCTGTCTTTTAGGAGTGGACACCGAGCGGGCCGAGAACAGTTCGTTCATTTTTGCGGCGATCTTACTGTTGTTTAAAATGAAATTGCCGTCCCCGAACCTGATAGACTGGTTAGATGTGTCAGTCCAGGGTTTGGTCAGATTGCGTAGAAGTTTCGAAGTGGCAGCTGAGCTGCCGCGGAAATTGCCATCTGTAAGTAGTTCATGCCAGCGTTGGCGTTTGCCGTCGTTGACGGTCTTGGTGATCAAGCTGTTCAGCTCGCCAATTCGCGGGTCATTGGCATTACATACTCGTATATCATCTCTCTCGCGTTCCAGGCGGGAGGCTTCAGACGAATAGTAGGTACGAAGTAGGGGGGTGCGGCCGTTCGGGATGTGGTGACTTGCTGTTGCGAGAAGCGGTCGAAGAAGGGCTCGCTCCGCCGTGTGGACACAGGTGGGAGGCGGTAGGGCATCGATCTCGGCTTCGTATTCGGTGGTAAACGCTGCCAAATCGGCCCCCTTTAAGTTGATGAAGTGCCTGTTTGGAGCCTTGATACGGTCGGCGGCGGTGGCCAAGTCGAGCATTATAGGGAGCTGATCGCTACCCAGGTTGATATTCGTGCTCCACATGGTGGAGGGTACTAGGCTGAGACTGGCGAGGGAAAAATCGGACGAACTGGAGGCACCGTTGGTCGGGAGCCGCGTTTGGCCCTCCTTGTTGAGGACTGCGAAGGGGGCGTGTTCTTATTCATCGGCCAGCTATTCTCCCAGGGGATCGGCCACCAAGTTGGAGCGTCACAGGTCGTGGTGGGCGTTGACGTCACTTAGCACCAAACTGTCTCCAGAACGTAAGTATGGGGCGGTGGAGGCGGTGAAATTGGGAGGACAACAGGAAGATTTAGGGAGTAAGACGTTCAGGACGGTTAGTGGCGCTGAACCAATGTCGAGAGAAACTGCCAATACTTCCGCGGTGTCGACACCAAACAGGGGTAGCTGACGACGTATTTGTTTTGGGAGTCTCAGTGGAAATATCTGGTTCTTTTTGGTTGGATTTTGGCTATTTCATGCATCGATGTACAAAATTTCTGGAGTGACCATTGCGTTATCTGCTACCAAACGAGTACACATTAAAGTTTCAATCTTCCCAAAGAAGCCTTTCTCTTGTTAATATTTGAATTTATAGGAGCAGTGAAAATCAATGAGAAAAATGCATACTGCATTCAGGATGTACTTTCTACAAGCTGTCGGTAAGAAGCTCGTTCAAAAATAGGCATTCAGACGCGACTGAAATATTGAGAAATGAGGCTTTGAGAATAAAATATGCAATTCAGTTCAGTTATAACATCAGACATCAACGATCGAGAAAGGGTATCGACGTAACCAGGCTTTCTTGCCGTCAACGGCCTGTATTGCCTCGATCTCAAGCAAGGTCTTCAAGAGTGGAATGAACAAATTCAGCTGGTGTCTGAGTTAAGTCACCTTATTAGCATGCGTTTCATGAAGTCGGAGTACCTGATACTTAGGTTCTGTTAAAATCACTCTCATCTTTTAAAAGATCTTGTAATTTTCGTTCATAATCCTCCCATTTTAACTGCACGTTCATCCACACTTCTGAAGCTTACTGAATAAGGTGCTCTAGACAAAATCACGCCATTCTTCTCAGACTTCTCGGACCCTTTAAAATTCGCATAAAGAGCTAAGCGTAATGGCTTGGACGTCGTGCTTGTTATGGTCCACTCCGCTCTCTCGGCTGGAATATAGTTTGACTTATAGATTACTCGTAAAAGTAATTGTTTCGAAGTGCTAATCTGGGAAGGAGGAGTTGCTCAGCGGAACACATGTGTCGTGTTGCTGATGTTTTGACATTAAACGCTTTGTGAAAGGGATGGCTAACCAGGCTTCCCGAAACGTCTTCGACAACTCTATTCCGCTGAGCATTTCCGCTTTTGTAGATTATTTTGCCTTTTGTCTCCACTTTTCCAGTCTGGCAATCGCGCATCTGAAAATACCCACATTCCGTCTCACATTCTGTACTCTTATCCTCTTGATTTCTCCTATTTTGCTTGAGACAGTTACGCCTATTTTATTATCCTTCATTCAGACTACCACAGCTGTTGCGGTATTTTTTATGTCCTTTACTGTACATCTGGCACCCGAAAATTTCAAAGTGGTTCGAACAATTTGCTGATCGAATTCTAGATGTGGTTGGCCGAATTTCCGCGAAGCTTACCCACGCCATGCCCTGTGGTTTTCGGAGTATTTTTTACCGTATATAGGCACGACAGGTCTTTGTATTACCATTTCTGACACGATAGCTGACAGGCAAGAGGGTAGAAATCCAGGAACCAAGACTTGAGTTGTCCTTATAATAGCCATACAGTTTAAAGTAAAATCATTTATTCCCTCGCAACTTACTTATTTGTATCTTGGCCAGGGTGAATTTGTTATGTTTTTCTTTAAATTTCGAAATGTTAGCTTTAAAATGAAACTCATTCACTCTGTCTTACGTTGTCGATAGGCTTTATTCGGTTATGTACTGCCCACCTTGCTATGCCGATTGGTATCACAACTACTCAAACTCACAGGAACGTGCCGTAGTAGTGGCCCAACTCCTGGCGTATGTTGCAACGCTGTCTCTCGCGACTAATTGCACTTGCTTACCCATAGCTGCCTGCTTCTAGACCAATCCCGGATGTCCAAATCAGCCAATCATCTTCAAGGCTAACTCACGCATGACCTCGTTTAAGGCGCATTAGCGACTTCCCACGTTCTGTTACTATGGATGCCACCTCAAGGCTCTGGATATGTCCCCGTCCGGCTGCAAACCTCCTTCAATCTCTTTTCCACTAGTTTGGTACAGAATGTACCATCCTCCTAACTGGCGCGTTCCTTGTTCTCTTGGTTTACGGAACCGGACCAGAAGGTCCCAGTGGCTATGTTTTTCCTTAACTTCAGCTGCAGTGACACCATCCCTCTCCTCCATGAATGCCTGTTTGGTCCGCTTCTTCTTATATGTTTATTTTGTGGTCACAGTGTGACAGTTTAAATGGGCTATAGGGCGGCAGTTCCTCAACAAGGTCGAAAACCTTAACGCATTGTGGCACTTGCCTTTCGAAAAGCGAATTTTAACTTCACTAAAACAAAAATGCAAAGGTGGTTGCTATGCTGTGTATAGGCACACATTTGCGTTAGATATACATTGTTTTATTGGAATTGAAATACATCAGTAGAAAAGGTCAAAAACGTTTCGGAGTTTTTAGAGTCAGTGTTCTCTAAGTGTTTAGAATTCTTTGACTGATTCACTGCCTTTGGACCGGCTTTCTGACAGCTCCACCTCTAAATCCAAGATCAAGTCGTTCTCATAAGGTGGTATTTCCTCCAAGCGGTAGGGATTGTATCCTTGTCCGGAATCCATTTGGAAGAAGTTCAGACGGCATTTTACGATAATGATGTTCAAAATGATCAGCAGAGCGAGAAGTATAAGCCACTATGGAAGATGCAACAATATGACACATTAAACTGCTTCTCAAAATGCAACTGGCAACGAAGTGGCTTAGGTGATAAATACGCACAATGTTAATCTTGTGCACTTTTTCTCGAAAAATCAAAACATTCTCTTCAGTGGTACTGCTTGAAGAAAGAAAGTACCTAAGCTTATAACGAATTTCAATTTTTTGTCATTTCTGGCATGATAGCATGCTCATTTGTGAGTATACCATCCCGCAAAAGTTAAGGTGCTGTTCGCAGAACGTATAATCTGATTCAACTGCACCGAAATATTATCTTAGTAGAACGAAGTCAACTCGCAGGAGCATCAAGGTAAATGCAAGTGGTGCTAAGAGCAAATAATCGAACAGCTTTATCGAAAATTATTTAGGTCGGGGTGCAAAATTAAATGGCGATGGTATAAAGAAGCAACCTCAGTCCCTGGAAGTTGTAACCGTGGTCTGCTAAAATACTAAGCAGGGTACATTGTCTTGATGTTTCGGTGGCGATTTTGTATAGATCCATGCACTGTGCCAGTAAGCAGCTATGTTGTTTGCCATATATTTTCTTACATTGGTGGAGGTTCCGGCCAATTTTGACACATAAATAGTATTTGCAGTCTAGAGATTCTTTATGATCTAATCTTACTCAAGCAGTCTGATGATTAAACCTAAATTGTGTTCTTGCAGAATAACTTAGGTAGATAAAAGAAAAGCGTGCCTTTGATAGTATGCGTGACAGAGCACTGACAGGGTACAGGGTTTTCCGGTGATGAGCTTTGTCGCCTCCGATATCGATAATTCGTTTTAGGGTACGCGAAGTTCGGTTTAAATGTACCTTTAACCGACAATGGCATATGATTTTCCAAAGTTACACAGTTTATGCATGCATGTGCATTTTTTCAAAAAATTTTTGTGTTTCACCCCGGGGTTTGTATTCCCCTGCGACTGTATGCAAATTGCTTGCGATAAAAATCTAGATCAATGGGGGCGCATAAAAGACAAAGTGACCAGCCGGATATCATTAACCCTGATTGGTTGATGGTAAAAATGTTGACTGCTTTATACCTCGATAATAACCACAAGGAATGAATCCAAACTGAGAGAACTCCACGATGGACTTCCGAGAATGTTGTCCACAACATTCCACAGGACAAAGACCGTGCCAAGCGCGGGAAAAATGCAGCTAAAGTAGGTTACAATGCATAAAAACAAAAAATCAGAGTGGTTCAGAAATTTACTGAAATCCCCCCGACTGAAGATTAAAAATTGACCAGAACTGACTACCACAATCGCCCGTTTTATCGATATAACCTCTCATTTTTTGACTGATAATCAAAATTAAAAAGATTTGTGACCGTTTTTTAACCGAGACTAGCTAGAACTGACCACTGGCACAATAGATTTTTTCGCTGGAAATTTTGAATTTATGCTCGAACCTACCATCAGCAATATAATCTGCGTGCGAAAAGACTAATCAGTGAACGTAATCATAATATGCTTCTGAATGTGCTTGAGAACAGAACACAAAATGTGAACCATCAGGTGAGGCGCTAGAGCCTTTGATTTAGGTAGTTTGTAACTGACGGATCCGCGTTCAAATGTCCATTAATCTCGGCTTATGGTTAGCTAGGGCTAGATATTGATTCCAAACGAAGTAGAAATTTTATTTAGGGCTCGCTTTTAGTTTATCAGTAGCACTATAATGTTCGAAGTTTCCTAGCCCATATTCCTATGTGAGTTTCAAGGAGCTCTACCGTATACCAATAACAAAGCATTATTCACACGGTGTAACTACGATCCTATCCTCACACATTCAGGTGCTATCAGTAAACCAATCATTGCAGATAAAACGGACATACGTACACGACGATCACGACCCAAATGCGTGGAAGATTCCAATCTCGGTGCCCAAATTCATTTACAATCTTTAGTCTGAATTTGTTTGCTCCGTAGATTATGGCCAGAAGGCAGAAAAGGACACCGGATATGAGCAGAGGGAATCCCCAAACGGAGTCCTAAAGAAAAAAAAACACCAAGCGAGCTCAATACGACAGTTAGCTTACATGAAAACCTACGATTGGGCAAGCTCGTATGAGTGTGAATTTTTAAACTGAAGATTTCTTCTTACCAGTTAACCGACCATGCTCATAATGATATTGATGATGTTACTGGTGGTGATGGTGATGGTGGTAGTAGCGCTAATGGTGATGGTGGTGAGTGCGTCCAGAGCATTTACCATCACAGTCTCAAGTCGGTCACCACACCTCGCCCAACTAGCCCATGCGCCGCACACACTTACTACATATTTCTTAGTATATGCACACAACATGCACCTCACAGGTCAGTGGGAAGCAAATTCTCGGGTGTAACTTGCGTGGCACACCCAGACGAACGCATAGAGCTGTGTTGGCTACTACGTCAGCAGCAGATGGGTTACTAGCTCGGTCATTTAACTGGTGAAAGATAGAAGAATTCAGGTGAACTATGAGGAACTCATCTACACGATACATCAGTACATGCTTCAGCAAAGTAAATCTAGCATACCAAAAGTCGTCGCTCGAACGATCGCCATCTGGTGGTACAATTTGAACTTCACAGTCAATCCTATATGTATTGGTTCTACAAAGGGCTATACGGGAGATATGAAGGACCAGCGCGGAATCAGCTTCCGTTGCGGACTGTGCAAAGTCCGGAAATCGCCTATCACATGGCACACATGGGAATGTGGTGGTACGCCCAGACGTAGACGCATGCCACGCTATCTGTATGCATCCAATCTCAGCACTAGATGGCTGACCTGCGGGGCACTGAGCTGATGCATCAGAAAGCTTGAAAAACAGGAGAGAGAGGGGGGTGAGCTCGGTTCTGGGGACTCTATCCTCACAGAAATTAAGGTCATTTTCTAATTACAAACAAGTTGACGCGTCTTGAAGCCGCCAACCCTTGCTTTGACGTGGCTAATTGACCGGGTAAGTTAACCCCTCAGGATAGAGAGTCAGGGTGCAATGGCTCCTTAATAGTGTGTTCTATATGCTACCCCCACGCATATGGGAGCCGCACTGATTACTTCTCGTTTCTGTGTAAAACTCCTCTAGCACACTCAGGTCAGCCCGTGCTTAGAATGTGTAAACGGACTTTTTGACTCTTTTAGCCATTTGTCAAAGCATGTTCGGCCCCTTCTGCTTCTGCTTGGCCACCGGACCAGGGTGAGCGAGGGAGGAGAGAGTACGGCAGACCCATTGCAATGCTGTTATCGCCAAAAACTGATTCAGACACAAGCCACCATCTTGCGTCCATTACGGTTTGAAATAAAAGATGGATCTCGTCATTCCCGACGTTCAAACGATAAAGCGACAGTGGTGCTTGTGATAGTAGACATTGTACTTGAAAGAAGACAACAAATATCTTGGTATGGTTGTCGCTGCTGATGATATTGGTACCGATTATTATTATGAGGATGAAATCAACAATGCCGGTGCTAATGCTATACTGTCTTTCGGCTGCAATATTCTACTCACCTGATTGGCTAAAAATACGATGTTGAGCGCTGAGGTCAGTCCCATGAGAAAGATTGCGATTAGGGCGATGGCTGCAGATACGTGGTGCTGAACTAGAGAGAAAATACCAAGAGCTTGTTTGCAACAATGTGTTAATTGTAACAACTAATTAACTGGGAGAGGAAGCCTTATCTCGCTATCAATTGCATAATGGCTAGAAAAGCATTTGCCACCATACTTTGAATTACGGTATAAGATCAGTATGCTTTGAACTCAAATTTAGCAGTTTGCTAGGCCATCGAATGTGACGAGGACCCATACCTTCAACGCATTATCAGAAGATTTAGGCGACTGCTCGTTTGCTTTGAAATCATTAGGAAAAACAACCCGGGTTATAAGACATATTTTATTTTGAGTGTGGAATTAGGGCTACTTTAAAATATGACAGGTCCTTATTTACGAAAATAGGAATGTTTAGGAGGGTCTTTTTCGCAAGCAAGTACGTATTATGTCTCTTCGTATTGGGAAAAGTTCCATGGGTAATGTTGGAAACAGATATCTACAATAAGCTCTTTATATTATATTATTGCCAAGGTTCAATGATATATGAGAGCATGGAATTTCTAGGATAATCTCATTACTAATTTTTTTGTTAAGAAGCAGCTGTTAGAAGGGACTTGCTGTTGCCGTGGCGTATCTTTTTAAACTAGTTGTGATAATGCACTTGTGGATTTGTCATTGCATGCTACTTTTCTAAGAAAATTACCCAGATTGCGCATATTCAGTTTCGTTATTTTTTTATCCTCCGCCACGGTTAAGGCTTTTGTTGAACTTAAAAAAATAAACCGTAGTCAGATAACTGCATCAAAAAGGTATGCAGTATTATCCAAGAAACATTTTTGGGCGGACTTGCTTTCCGATTATCCCAGCAATTATCCGCATGCTGAAGTCTACGATGTTTGCGTTCCGCCTTTTTAATTCAACAGTCAGATGGCGCAGCAGCAGAACAATTAAGTAAACCTACAGCCACTAAACTGAGCCCTGCTTACACGTTAGTACACAGGGTTTGTCTCTAGGCTAACACTGTTCCGCGATGTCATCTCAGGTGACCTTGTCTTTCACAGCCGCCGGCGGTGGTGGCACGGCCTTGGTCTCACAAAGAGGTAGGAATGCGCAAGATATCCACGTATTTTGGCAGTAACCCTGATCAGCGCTCAGCACGAGGGTTGTTTCAACAATGTTAATGTCCTATCACTTGTGGCTTGTAGGTGTTGTGGCTGTTGACCGCCACCCTAACTACAAGAACTGGAAAGACTGACGGTACTCCTCACAACTATCGGATGGTTTGCTGGGTTACTAATTAAAAACTCTTAATCTATTCATGGGTTTGAGTTCGTTACCTTTTATGTGAATGCAAATACTTGTGCACGGATGGAAACGTTGTATGAAATTAATCGGGAGTATAAGGGAGAAAACAGTCCTAGTTCAGATGAGTATAAGATCGCTGGAAAATGGCGTCTACTAGCCTGACGATTCTCGCAAGAACCCAGCATCACAGACGGTCGCAAACAAAGGCGATGAAGGTGCCAGGGGTGCAGTATTTATAGAACGCATTTTCCATGCGATCAGGTGCCTAATCCAATTAGCTGGTAGGTGCATATGATCGCGTCGTGTGAGTAAACTTCAACCGGTCATTCCGAGTCATCTATAACGTGCTGCAGACGCGGTGGTCATGTGGCTAGTTAACACAAGATGAACCTAGCATTCGTACTCACACCTGCCAGTTCACATTAAAACTGATAGTCAGATGCCTCCTTCTCCACCCCTCATCTGTCCTTCTTAAGCTCCTGGGAGAACTAGAGGATAAACCATGATGTCTGAAGGCCCTCACTACTGTCCCTACAATTAATATTTATTAGTTGTCTAACCTTTTGCCACAGTAACCTACCTTATATTACTGTGCAAGCCTGATCATTACTATTCGAACGTGTACGTCTGTCAGACTCGAATTCTCAGATCACAAATTGTTTATGAAAGCGTCGCAATCTGCTAGTAAAAGAGCCCTGACTTAGTAGTAGTTGGATTCCGTGTGTGACTTACAGACGTAGCTTACGTGGTTCCACTTTATCCTCTGGGTATATTAGTTAGTTTATTACAAATTTTTATGCAAAATGAATTCCGTAACAGCGAATAAATGACACTGTTGGTCTGAGGGTCTATCGGTCAACGATTCCTAAATAACAACGTGTGGAGCAATCGTGGAAGGCTTCTTAAAACAGCCATACCTACATACCTCGACAGTTTTTCAGAGTCAGCATAGTGAGCTGAAGGTTCGAAATGAGTGTTGTTAGGCCAGCAAAAGACAGGCAGAGAAATAAGAGGCAGCAAAGTACTCGTCCGGATATGCCCATTGTGGAGTAGAGCACAGGAATCCTTAAATATAAAACAGAGTCCACATTAAAAAACAACTGCACTCAGGACTATTAAATTAGAGGCTTTTTTGATCTGTTGGTGGCAAACAACCTCTTTACCACTGCAAGCGAGGTAGGAAATAAATTGCGAATCTGACTAAAATAGGGGTGACCAGTTAGGCGTCCATCCTACTGCCAAACCCCGATGGGTTGAAAGCTTTAGCAAATGTTTGAGGACGTTTATCAAAGGTACATGGTATCCTCACAATGAAAGTGTTTAGCCTTAAACAATATTAGTATTGGGTCGTCAAGTATGGAATTTTTCGAAAAAAACGTTTGCTGATATTTTATAAATAAAAGAATGTTCTGCAGGTTGCTGGACCACTTGGTCAAACTGGTTGTTGTATACCTCTGGCATGAACACTGAGCCAGGATTCATAAACTCATGATGTATCACATCTGTGTCAGACCACCCAACGCTCACCAATAGTTTTTTCTGATGAAATTTGCACACTCACTTGTGTTTCGATAGCGTTTCATTTTCCATCTGAACGTTTGCGGTTATAGTACTGAATCTATACCTCAGTAAAGGTTAAAATAAAATTTATTTCTGTCTTTCATTCCCTTTGTGTCACACCCTCCAATCCTTTTTTCACTTTTTTTCATATCATCTGCGTGAGTGAGTATTGCTTTCTTGCTGATACCAACTATAAACGATACTTCATGCCTACGTTGAGCTACATTTGTCGCAACGGTCACGTCCGATTTTTCCGTATCCACCATTGATTCGGGTCGACTGCGCAGTCCATTCGTGATGTCAAAGTTATCAGAACGAACTTTCGCAAACCAACAGTAGTTTAAGTAGTGCCTCTCAACTACCCTCAGTCTCAGCATTCCGTCCTATAAAAACGGTGGTTAAAGGGGTTTTATGGACGGATAATTAGGATATACAGTGGAATATACTTTAAAACTGCTATCTACATTTTTATTTTATTGTATTTAGAAATGCTGTTGATGTATATCTGTAGATTTTCCTAATATGTACTATCGTTTGACGTATTGTGGAAAAATCCAATTATCAAAATGCAGGTTTTTCGAGATTCCTGGAAAAATATAAATAGTTATTATGAGATCGTCTTCGTCAACTTACCTGAGGTCCAATTTACCGTTCTAGAGTAAGATTAATATAATGCGCGGCGCTTCGCGCCCCACACACCTTCAATTTAAATGCGGAAAAACTTACTCCCAGCGGTCGCGGGAAACAAATTTAACTACATTTTTCCACTTTCTACTTATTTTAACAAAGGTCTTTAACTGCATATCCCATTTCCCCACCCCCAACACCCCCTGTAACCACCGTTTTCGTAGGACAAAATGCTGAGACTAGGGGTATATGAGGTGCACTACTTAAACTACCGTCGCCGATATCTTACTTGACGACCCAATATTTTCATTCAACGTAATGCTGAACAGTAAATAATACTGCAGGTTTTCCATTGCATGAAACATTGGCGGAAATTCCTAAATTCGGTTCCAACCGGAAGGATAACTTAATTAGCCTTTTAATACTGGTGATAGCCCAGCCTATTTCGTTCACAGGAGGATGTCTTAATTTTAACGAGCTTCGTTCGGGCCGACATAAATAATGTAAACACGCCCTTCAAGGCAGCTCGTATTGACAACAAAGACAATGGAGACTGGAATGGTCATTTCTGGTTTATTTAACGTCGTCAGCCTATCATACTCAAACTCAAGTGGTGACCCATGCAAGCATTGAACTGGCGACCAGTTTGATCAGGGTCAAACACCCTAAACATTCAGCCGCCAATACTATGTGCCTATACTACCATCCGTTACGGCTGTCAGGGCCTCTGGCGAGACCCAAGGCAGACTGGTACAGATGAGTCCCGTTAGCCGTCGGGCGAATGTTTCATAAACGACTGCATTCAAGGTTAATAATGCATTTATCCATGCTATGAGAAGATTACATCGTGCAGATAAAACTCACACTGGATGGGGGCTATGTTCTATACTTTATAAGTAGTATTAGTAGATGAACAAATGGACATTTACGTTCTTTAACGATTTCAAAATTACAAACATTTTTATAAAAACCACGAGAGACACTTGCTTCAAGCGTCCACTTTGAAGAAGACACAATTTTATACCGAATGTATAAAGGAAAAATATTTTTGCTATTTTTGCTATCAAATATATTTTAATTTTAAGGCCACCCGAAATCAAGGTAAAGGATTCATACTTATAACGAACTGATAGTTTACAATACAGTGCAATACAATACAGTACAATATAATGCATGCTACCGATAGGAAACTCATCCAAAAGCCGGCATCTTGACTTACCTTAAATACCTTGGGATTACGTTGCATGATAATTAATTTTACAACCCTACTTATGTAAATTACTCGATCTGAAATCAAATTTTGCAATTTCGGTTGACATTTCATTATATAGCAAATCTACCTTAAATAGTTGTCTGCCTCATTTTCAGCAAGCATTATTTCTTTCACGAAGGTGTCTTACACTCCTAGGAGTATTCATCATGAGGCAGCTTACCAGGTGAAAGTTAGACCAGTGCTCCCGGGTCCACTCTCTTGCATGATTTGTTGAATATTAGTTCTTGTTACGTAGGGCCTAGTCCGGACCAGCGTTGCAAAAACTGTGCTGAAAACTGAAATGCCGCACACAAAACTGCAAGAAAAAAATACAGAACTTCAGAACCAGTCTATATGGAAGTGATATTGGCATCTGGATCTTTTATTTAGAGAATTCAGTAAGTCATATTTGAAATGTTAAAAGAACATGGAAAGTTCAATTTGGATTACGGAAACTAGTTTTTCCATAGCCCAATATTCTGATATTAAAGGAAATACTGACCTTACAAGGTTGTTGAAAAGTGGCATGAATGTGCCGTAGCGAACAACTCCGTTTTTTCAACGAAAGTATGCAGAGTAGGCCGTAAAAGGCCCATGCCAGCACCAATATCAAAAGCATTTTTTATAAAGGCATCCTTCCAGAGTCCGGGGTTGGCTAGACTGCCTAACAAGAATTACAATGTACCAATAAGCGCCAAAGGTCCGGATAAAAAACGTGAACTAGAAGAGTGAAACCTATTTGACTGTCCATTATTTTCGTGGCGGAGAAAACCGTGGACAAAGGTAGCGCACACACAGGTTTGAGATACATCTAGGATGCGGTTTTTACACATTCTTCCTTATACCCCACTTAGCAGTCCTTGCCAGTACTATAACCCGACTATAACCATTTGCCTAGTGCGCTTTTGATTCCCGTCTTGCGTTTGCTGACCAGTTTGAACAGGCGCGTAATCCTGATAAGCACTTTTCTTTCGTCTCACTTTAGTATATCCCAAAGCGCAGAAATTTTCGGCCAGGACGCCGAACGATCTACGGTCGTAGAGTTCGTTTAGCATAAATTTTGTGTGCCATTTCTTTAGATGATTATCGTCAGATCTTAGTTCCAGCGCTGTATGTGCTGTTTTCTCAGAAAGTTTAGTTTTAAGGCCCCAGAAGGCTTTGCCTTCAGCCGCCCCACAGCAGCCGGGGTTGATGCTCCACATGGAAACTATTGGTTGCTATCAATCGGCAACAAATATAGCAGAAGAACAGATTGCTACCGCAAGAAACACCTGGAGTCATTTAGCAGGTATGACAAGTTTATGACTAAGCGCAAACATTGCTTTGTATCTGGACGACCAAGGATGCATTAACAAAGAGACGGAATGAGTCGTGGCTCACTGGCTAAGAACCCGTGACCTCTCCAAGTCGGAGGTAGGTGAAATCCTCGATAGAGGGTGACAAGCGTGCAAGTCGTGAGTTGTTTAATTCCGATTTCTTCGACTGGCAGGCTGTCACTCTATAATCCACTAATACTTTGCCACAAGCGAACTGCTGATTTAAGATTTAAAGGTCGACGAACGGGTGTCGTTTTTTACTGACCACCTGGCCAGTAACATCAGTAGCAGTAAGGAAGCAAAAAGTAAACAGAGCCGACGATACGCATAAATGCAGTGGGGGTTAGGGCGCTTGAATACTTCAGAAACCACGCCTTGCTTGTAGTCTAATTCCGTCAAATGGGCATCGTGAGGGCGATGAAAGAGAGATAGGTTTGTCATTGCAACTCATGGGTAAGGATGATTTGTAGGGCCAAAAAAGAACATGGGCACAGTCACCATCAACAATACGTGTGGTTTTGCACCAAATGCCCGGAACATTAGGTCCAGGATTAAGGTGGTCGTTAGGGTTATATTTAGGGTTACGTTTGAGGTTGGGAATAAGGTCACAGTGTTGGGATTAGGGCCAGAATTAATATAAATGGTTAATTTTTGTGTTCATATCAACTGTACGGCTAAGGGTAGGACTGGGGTTAAGAGTAAGGTTGAAGTTTAGGTTTATGTTTATGTAAGGATTAGCGTTTGGGTTAAGACCCGAGACTACTTACACTTCCTGAAATGTATCGCAAGTCAACTTATGTTAGGTGGGCAAGACATTCATATGCACGTGTTCTTTTTAGGTGGCCATACAAGTCATCCTTATTTGCTAATGTATTGCCTTTGCAATGCGAGGTTGAAGGATAGAGATAAGAGCGTGGGCCAGTGCAGCTCAGGAACTTTGAAAAACCTGCATGCATAACCATGGGAAGGTTAATTGTTTGGTCGTCTCCTTTGCCTCTGCCAGTGCCCATAAGTGCAGGCAATTAGAGCGCTCGACAACACTATATATGGCTCAAACTGCTCATTTGACGTCTAAATGGTGGACCTGCCAATTACGAAAGCCACAATTGCGGTAGGAATGAACTTTACACATCCTGTGCACTTACAATCCTTTTGGTAAGCACCTAGTCGTCCGACCAATAGAACCCCTTCCGTG